ATTCCGCCGCGGCGCCGACACCCGGCGACGTGCAGTGGACAGCCTGCAAAGTGGCGACGGGCGCCGAGAGAAATGGCCCCTGCCACGGCCCGCTCGGCGGCAGCGTTCGACGGCCGACTCCCACGGCTCCGGGAGGACCGGGAGGAGCTGCCGGCGGTGCGGCCCGGCGCGGATTGTCCGGGCCGGCACAGACGAGCTGTACAAGTGGCGAAAACTTAATCGGAGTTCTTATTCAATCAAATCGGTAATATGTCGTAAGTTGTTTTGAGAAATGAGAAAACTCAACTTTGTGTGGACTGTCTGAAGAAGTGGTCAGAATTAAGAAAACGAGTCATAAAAATCGAGTACAGGTAATTAAACAGCTAATTGTGTCCCGCTCTGTAAAAGATCGCAGGCCGCCCCACGATGCCGTCAAGCTTTTACCATGTCCCTGCCGTCGTGAAGAAGCGGAGCGCTGCCGGACTGCGGACACCGAGTCGCCGCCGTCCCGTTCTGTGCACGGCGGCCTCCCGGCGCGGTGCACAGTTGATTGAGAGACCAGCCGTGGCCAAATGAGCCTCCCGACCCCCCGGTGGCCGCCCGGCGAGCGCCGTCTCTCCGCCGCCGTGTCGAACACTCAGTGACGAGTCGAGTCGAACACGGCCGCCGGCGTCACGGCGACGCTTCGTGACGCTCCCGGAATCGCACGGGTCACGCCTGTGACACCCCCGCGAGCTGTCTCACGTCAGCGAGGCGGCTGTCACTCTTGGACGCAGCGCCGCTTTCGCCACTGCCGCGCCGCGACCGCCTCCCGCGCGCCGTCCCTGCGGCGCATTTTACGGTTTGTTTCGTCTAAATTAAATGCATGCGAGACGACGGGGTCCGTGTAACCCGGTTTAATGCCGGCCGCGGCAGCCTTTGTGGCTCAGCGGGGGCCAGCCGGGCAATTGTGGCGCGGGGGTCGGCCCGGCGCGGCGCGGCGTGGCGCGCCGCCCCCCGTCGACAGGAATCATAGCCTGTGCTCGGCGCTATCGCCGCCGAGAGGCTGCTAATTGGCCCGGCGGTGGGACGAGCTGACCCACCCCCGGAGTCGGCAGAGCGGCCCGGGCAGAGCAGGGGAGGACTGGGAGAGAGGAGTGAGAAATGGACGATGAAAGAGTTAGCAAGCTAGCAAGAGTGAGGGCTGGGGCGAGGCCCATAATGTTTTTTTTGGGGGGGGGAGGCGAGAAAGAAGCAATATATTAGGCGAAGGAGTAGGAAGGACGAGCAACAGAACAGAGCGAATAGTAGATGATAGGATAAACGAGAGCTGCAGCTCTCGTGGTCTCACCATGGTGAAAGAGAAAGGACTGGCCGAGAGAGGATGGAGGACTGGGTGAAATACGAGAAAGGACGGACTGATATGAGAGGTAGGACGGGGCAATTGCAGGCATGGAACTGTGTGCTGTTTCCTTTTCAAGAACTGTTGTGGTGGCAAGCCAATATCTGATTAAACGCATGATTTAGAGGGGCTAAAGCCTAAAGCTTAAAATCAGAGCTGCGGTACCGCCTGCCGGCCGCCAGTGACTGAATGCAATAACATGAACAAAGGTGCCTTTATTCTTTGGTGAGCCTAAGCGGTGCACATATGTGCCAACAAAGTCAGCGTTTAGCACTGACAAGGAATGCGCCAGTATTTTGCATTAACATGTGCAACCGTATTCTGAATCTCGTGTTTAGGCGTCTGGCGCGTCCATGAGGCCGTGAGTCACTGCAGCGGCGCGTGGAGGCTGCTGCTGGGAGCGCGGCCCGCAGATTCCTCCCGGCACCCGGTTCCCACGAACAGGTGAATAACGCTGGCAGCGCGAGATGGCCACGCCACGCTTATCAGCACGCCGTTCGGATGCCAGCGCCATTCATGCCTGACTAAATTTGTATGGGTGCTTCACTTTTACGAGCTCCAGTAATGAAGAGAAATTCACTAACCAATAACACCATTTATTGCAGAAATACTGCGGCTCGCTCCTGCGCTAATACTTAGATAAATCCACACAATTGATTGTCTGCCTATTGGCGATCAGTGATTCGCTACTTGACTCCGGCCACGTTTGGGATTTATTCCGGCGCCGGAGCGCCGGAGCGTTCGCGCAGAGTAATTGGTTTTCAGTGTAGCGCTCCGGAGCCGGCCGCTCGAGCTCCAGTGCGCCTTACAGACGGGGTGGTTCGCCCGGCTCATCTGCTCAGAGCCATCGACCGCGAGATACGACTCCGTCCGCCAGTAATTCTCTGTAAGCATCGCGCCAGGTTAGCCGCGCTCCGGTGAGCCTGTATCTTCATCAGGTCAATTACACTGCATCAATATTTCACAATTTAATTTAATATTACGATGAAGGCTGTGCGCCGATGGGCGACTCCTAATTACCGGTCGGCTATTAGTGGGCCGCTCCCCGCTGCTGACCACAAAGGCGCCGGGACGCACCAGAAAGGATTTCGGAAGGAAATTAATGAAGCCGAAAATGTTCACAGGGTCTTAATAGGATTACACAAGAGCCCATTAAGGGGGCGGACCCCGGGAGAGCGCGAGCTCGCTCTCCAGTCGACAGAAGCGGAGCAGCGAAAAAGGTGGCTGCTCTTCAATTGATGAGAGAAACGACAAAGGACGACCAGCGGCGGGTAGCGGGTAGCGGGCGGTGGGCGATGTACTTACGTCGGACTTGGTGACCGGCTCGTGCCGCGGACCCCCTCCCGCCGCCGGGGGGCGGGGGGGGGGGGGGTATCTGCGGACCGTGAGGCGGCAGATCAGTTTAGAGCCCTAATCGGCCGCCTTGCTAACGGTCTGCGCCGGGTTTTCCGGCCGTGCGCCGCTGCCCGAACGTTCAGCTCCGGACCAAAGCCGGCGGCGGCCGAGCTTTTCGGCGAATAAAAATGTCCTGTACCGCCGGCAAGTGGCGTGATTTGCGAAAGTCACCCGGGACCATCAGGCCAAAAACGGACAGTCAAATCAATTTACCTTATCTCCTCTAACGGCTATGTTCGTGACGATAATATATTCACATTTCAGACAGTATCAGCTTACTGCTTTGGAAATTACCGCCATATTCACTAGCACCTGGCATAAAACTCCACCCTGGGGCCTCATAACGGTGATGTAAAACAATTTCATATCCATCGATAAATCAATGCAGATTCACCTTCATATCAACACTTCAGCGGCACAAAAACGGTTAATTGCCTGCTCCTCAGGACCAACAACAAAGCCGGGGGTGGTCACTCGGAGGCCGATTACCCTTATTCAATCGGTGAATGTAAACGACACGCTATAATGACGGCCAAGGGAGGGACGGTCGGCTTTGATCAATGAACACCACTACAGACACACAGAGACGGACTGGAAAACACGGGGGCGCGCCCCGCACTGCCGAGGGCTGCGGGCGCTCCGCTGAGTCGCTGAGTCGGTGAGTCGGTGAGCTGGTGAGTCGGGCGACTCGTGACGAGGGGAGAGAGGACGAGGGGACCGCGACACGGAATCACTCATCCCCGCCGGCCCACCGGATCCCATTAGGGCGTAATTACAGCCGGAAAATCGTTTTATTTCCTCGCGACTGACATTGCCGATAATCCGATAGGCGTTGTAAAAACACTGCACGCACAGATACGCCGCGCCGCCGCGAGCCGGGACTCGTGGGTAGACTGAGCTGGGGTCTGCTGGGGAAGAGAGAGAGAGAGAGAGAGAGAGAGAGAGAGAGAGAGAGAGAGAGAGAGAGAGAGAGAGAGAGAGAGAGAGAGAGAGAGAGAGAGAGAGAGAGAGAGAGAGAGAGAGAGAGAGAGAGAGAGAGAGAGAGAGAGAGAGAGAGAGAGAGAGAGAGAGAGAGAGAGAGAGAGAGAGAGAGAGAGAGAGAGAGAGAGAGAGAGAGAGAGAGAGAGAGAGAGAGAGAGGAGAGAGGCAGAGACAGAGAGACAGAGACAGCTTTTATAACAAAACAACTTTTCTTGCAAAAGATAATGCTTTATCATTCGCTGACTTAACTCTATTTACGTTTAGCCGACATTATTCTGGGGCAAACAACAAGCATAGGAATATATTCCGTAGCCTGGAAGCATTATGAAGCTATTTATATGTTCTTAAAGCCCTTACAGAAACGGTTTGTCCTAATAAGGGATAGATCCACTGACCTTATGTTGATACTATTCCCCCAACTGTGCCTCGGTAATAGAGACTAGCATAGATAAATACATGCGATCTACCTCGGGACAACGATGGACAAAACCCTGTCATCACTTAGCTGATGTGGGGAAACGGTCGGATAGTCCCAGACGGCACAGACGTCCAAAGCCGCACAGCCTGCGGCACTATCGGCAAATCGCCCGGGAGCCGTGTATAGCAGCCGTGTATCGGTCTGAACTAAGCCAGGGAAACACCGCTCCGTTTGTTGGGAGACAAAATCGACTACACCAGCCGGCAGCTGGAAAACACCGTTTCTGAGACGCTGGACGGCGCAGAAATCCCCGTGAGACGGAACGATCAGCGCGCCCGGTACCCGAGCCGATGGCAGATTGTGTTCGGTGGCGGCGATTTCCTAATTTTCGTGACCTTATCAGCGATGTACCGGCCCAACAATCGGTGAACGGGTGTGCGGAAAATGCTGTTAGGTAGCGCAAAGAAGTGACGTTTTTGGATGTTTCGATATCTGCTGTGATCACTCGCCGATTCGGTGTTGTTGTAGTTCATGTTTGGGCCGAACAGATGATTTGTCACGGCCTTATAAAACTGGCGTGCTGTTTAGAATCGATTAGATGACATCTGCAGTGTCGCTCTTTGTGCAGCTGACATGTGTATGCGGCTGATTGATGGTCGTATGTGACGGCTGCCGCCGACCGCGCCGAACCGATCCGCAGCCGACAGCCCCGCCGCCCGAGATGAGCGACTGCAATCCGACACAGAAAGATATCCCTGAAGTCTCGCGAGAGTGCCTCAAACGCCTTCTTTGGAAACTGCAACGCGTCACAGGCCTCTAACCTGCAGCAGCCCAACACACTCTGTGTACCATTTTATCAACAGCTTTATTATATCAACTTAATGAGACACTTTATACACCAAGCTTTGGTAATATTAGCACGGCCTGAGACCGCTGTATCGGGAGCGCTCACTCCTCCCGGGGTGACGTCACACACACACGCACACAAACAGACAAACGGACGGACGGACGGCGAGCGTCGGGACGGCCGCCGCGCCCAACATTGACATTGACCACCGTCCGACAGTGACACAACGACTCTAGGACCATAGGACTCCGGGCGTGATGCTGCACCCGTGCGGATATTTGTGTGCTCAAAGCGCCACTCCAAGGACGGAATGCTCTATTAAATAGGAAAACAGTCACAACATGCGTCGTCTTCACGGTCAAAAAATGCACGGCAAAGTCAAATTAGGACCACCAACAGATCGACACGCACATTTGCTGACACCTATGCAGCGTGCTGCAATTCATCATCACACTCGCACATTTTTACCATTTGTTCTTTAAAGTACTTAGCTACCTATCTATTTGCGGCGAGACCACCGCATGTGATTGTCTCTCTTGTTGCCGTTTAACGTGAAAACCTCGCATTCAAGGCACATCAAGTCAAATTCAAAGGACTGCAAATACTGTTACAGTTTAATACTTCCGGTGACTACCATTCCCACCCCCCGACACTGCGCCATCGTGATTCAGTGCACCCATCGCCACCTGTCTCGAACTCGGAGCAGATCGGCGGTATACCTACCGCGTGCTCCGACTACCCATATCCCAACCAATCAGAACGTCTATCACTCTTTTCTCCCGCGGCGCACACAGCTCACCCAGCTCACAGAGCTCACACAACTCACACCATGTCTCACCCGGCTCAGTTTCACACCCAACAACAAGTCTGTCGCCGGCCGTGTCTCCCGGAAAGTTCCAACCGAGACGCCCGCGTCGCCTATCACGCCTTTCCGGCCGCCGCCGCCCGCCTAACCGCCCGTCTAACTGCACAGGTCACCGTTCTTACGCAGCAGCTCGAGCCTCATCTCGTGCTCGCGCGCCTTGAGCCGCAGCGCCGCGATACTGGAGGTGCGCAGCTCGGGGCTGCCGGGCGAGAGGCCCGACGGCGCGGCGGCCGAGGGTGGCGGCGGCGGCGGGCCGGCCGACGGCGCCGCGGCCCCGCTGGCCGGTGGCAGCGGTGCAGACGCCGGCAGCGCCATGTTGGAGAGCAGCGCCTTGTACTCGGGGGAGTCGAGCGGCGGCCGGTGCGCCGACAGGTTGGCCAGCAGGCTCTGGAACGTGGGCGAGTACGGGCTGCCGAAGGGCACCAGCGGTGGCAGCACGGCGCGGTAGTCGCGCAGCGCCGACAGCGGGTGGCCCAGATACCCGGCGCCGGGCAGCAGGCCGGCCGGCAGCAGGCCGCCCGACAGACGCGGCGCGCCGCCAGACAGGAACGGCGACTCGAACGGCTTGCGCAGGTAGCTGAGGTGCGAGAACGGCGGCTGCAGGGGCGAGATGGACGGCGCGCTGGAGGGCATCGCCAGCGGCGTCTGGTACGGGTTGTACGGGTGCGCCTGCGGACCCACCTTCTCCTGCTTCCGCCACTTGGCGCGCCGGTTCTGGAACCACACCTGCAACAGCGGAGAACCGGCGTCAGGGAGGTGTCCTCACACACAGTGTCATGCGAGGCGCTGGATATACTCTTGTCTGGATTCTTTCTTCATGTCACAATGTTTAGCGTTCACGAAACAGTGAAGTGCGTGTCGTATAGCAGACAGCGTTAAAATTATCGAGAGCTCGCAACTAGTTCGGCGCATGTGAAATCGTTGATTCAGTCACTCAAGCTGAAATGTGAAAGCGATTATCGGATGGCCAATCGTCTGTAAAGCGGCACACTTCACGGCGTGAAGGGAGGGGTTAGGAGGGAGAACTCGTTTCGCTAATGCTCAGTATCCTCTATCCACAACTGTTTGTCGACTGTTCCATAAGTCCCGAACAAAGAGCACCAACGTTTGTACAACTCGGGGCAATGGTAGTAAATGCAAACCTCTATATTCCCATACTTCACGCTAATAACCACGGAGTTTTTCCGAAGCGTCCGTGAGTGCCTTTGTCCTGCAATTACGGGCCTAATTAGAAAATGTACATTGCTGGTTACCACTGCATACTTAATGGAAGCGCATTAACGCTGAGTGCAATCGTCAGCTCTGTAAACACGTACACATCAATCAGCGCGAACATCAAGGAAACCCAAGTGCAGTGGCCACTCACAGTTTGATGCAGTTTTATGAACGGCAATAATCGTTTATAGTTTAGTCATTGCCTACCTACATTGCGCTATATGGCGGGCAATGTCATTCAGCGCATTCAGTCACCGAGTCATTCGGGGCACAACGGACGAGGACAAGCGGCTGGCCCGGGCCGGGCCGGGGCAGAGGGACCGGCCGGTATGCGATCGGGCCACCTCCGGTCGCCGGTCCTCCACGCGGCCCGGTCGGCGCTACACGGAGAAATTATCACATCATGTCGGCCCGTCCAGGCTCCATCAGCCAGCCGTAATTAAGTCGTTATCGGACTTTTTGTCCGCTTTTTATCGGTGTCTATTTAAGCTGCACTGTCGCGGCCATGTGACCAAATTGTCTTTCATTGTTATGAACCCTTTTTCTATTATCTGTCGGCCTTGGACGGGGTTAATTGGGTTATTCGGCCCACTGCGGCCGTGAAATGAGTAGAAGAGATGGACTCAGTGAAGCGGCCAGCCGAACCGCTACCGAGGAACGCAGGAACTAACGACAGGACAGCGGGCGGTGGAGTCCGAAAGGGTCACTATCCGGGAGCGAAATGATCCGTGTTCGGTGTTCATCTAACCGGGAAAGTGAGCGACTTGTGAGACTGCTGGCGAATGTGCTTTGGATAACGCGCTCTAGAAAATTGTTTTTGAGTGATCACATCGTTAATGAACTTAGGCTATTCCATGATTCACCCTTTGCTATTGTGATGCAGTTTTCAGTTTTCTGAGTGTTATGTTATTTCGGTCCTTAAATTTCAAACCATGGCAACATCCACACCCTTTTGAAACCCACCCTATCTCCATGCCCCCCGCGTGTCCCTCACGTTGCGTGTATACTGTATATCGACACCAATCCCCCATTTGTCTCCGTGTCGCCATTTCCGGCGCACGCGCCACTATCGTCTCACCTCGCCTGCCAGCTCGTAATGTGAGCCGGGTCCCCGCGGCGCGGCGCGCGACATCGGCGCGAGGGACGGCCGCTGCTGGCCAGACTGGGACGCCCGGCGCGCCGGCCACCGCCACAAAAACCCAGCACAGCGCGCCGCCGGTGACCGCCGCCCGGTCTCGTGATCCATGCACATCCCCGCCCAACTGTCACGTGACGTCGGCACAGTCGCGATAATAAATTTGGTCAACACTTTAACAGTAGAAATCAATTAGCCAGCGCAATAAATAAGGCGTGTAAGAGGGAGTGAGACCATCCGAAGCGCCCTCCGATTGTGCATAAATTGTCCGTGCGACAGGTCGCATTGTATTTGCATAAGTAATGCTAATTTGGAGCCGATAAGAAACCTCAGGCCGGGGCGGAGCGGCGCAAAATGAAGCGTTTAATGCTATCAAAACACCGGATAAGTTATAGCACTAGTGTGCCGATTGGGAAGCAATAACGCTGGTCACGCAAAGAATTCGCAATTTCTCGCGATTACGTGTGGGCGTGTTCCGTAAACAGCCCTCGGGCTTCAGAGAAGGTGTCTGTGAGATTGATGGCGTCATCAGACGGGATTTCTTGCCGATATATTAGCAACTGAATTTGCCTTGTGTCGCACTCATGACTTTTACAATAGCTCTTCCCCATCAGCAAGGTCTTTTGAAAACTTGTAGGGAATAATGCCTCACACGATTCCATCAAAGTGGAACTAATTCAAAATTCTTGTTCAGCTAATTAAACAAAACTTGCTCGTTATCCTTTCGTTGGTGTTTTAGACATTTCCCGGCACGCGACATTATTTCTCCACCTGTCCCTCTCTGCGGAAGGTCCCTGCAGTCACCGGGCCACCGGCCGTCCCAGTCGAGCGAGCAGGGAGGTGAGCCGGGTGGTGAGCAGGGCGGTGCGTCCGACTGCCCTGGTGGCGCCTCCATTACCGCGCGAGCCGTATCCAAAACGAATCACTAATTGTGACGATTTTTCATCGGCGCATCAGCACGATTTACACGACGTCAGGGTGATAAATCTGGAATTACCGGCGCTGATAACGGCTGCCAGCCATAAATTACCGGGCGACGTTGACAAGGGCGGACTGGGATCGGCCCGGCCCGGCGGACGGCGGCTCTCCTCCACAGAGACGGCCGCCCGTGTGTTCTCTGCCGCCCACGCACACTCGATCGCGCCGAGAACTTCAGGGCGCAGAGCAGCTGATTCTGACTGAACTGGTGTTATAAAATGCAATACCCGAGCACATGAAACATGAAGCAAAAAGGTTGATTGGATCCGTAAGATAAAGAACCCATCGAAAGGATGCAACGATGACTTAGAGAGGTGTTAATGAGATCACTTAGCGGGGCAGACCACTACAAAGAACTCAGTGTCGAGTAGGAACGGACCCTCTTTGCTTTGCCCCTCTTTGCCCACCCTGAAGGGGAAGCGCGTGCCAAAAAACGGTGTGCGGACGCGCTCGACGGGGCGCGAGTAAAACTGTTTCCTTGTCGCGTGCCGGGCCCTGTGCTCCGATGGCTATCAGTGGTTTTTGTGGGTGGTTCGACTCTCATTGTGCTCCGTTGGGGGTGTTGGTGACACGGGGTCACCCGGCGGGCCGCCGAGGTCGCCGACGCGACGGAGCTACACACTCCCGCACGCGCCGTTCAGAGGCGGAGTCGCTCCGCCGCGCGGGCATGTCGGCCCAGAGTGGCTGCGAGGCTGCACGTAGCACTGGAGCCTATAAAACTGTCAATTGCGATGTGATAAATCATCTTTTCCTTATTGATGGTGGTATATGACCGATATGGACTGGGGGCAGAGGCACCAGTCTAAGCCTGTTAAGTCTTTTTTTGCCATTTGTTTAACGGCTTTGCCCATTCACTACCTGTGATTTATTTTTGTTATTTAATTAAAATGGCTATATTCCAGGAGACGCCAAGGCCGAGCTTGACCATACTCGAGCCCGTTGCACCGCAAATCAATGGTATGTGAGAAGATAAGTGCTGTATGATAGAGCGTTTTGGTTGTTTACAACGGTTTGCTGCGAAAACTGCATGTGTTGTTTTACATCAAATGATGGTGATTCTTGCAAAATAATACAGTAATTTTGCCATTATCCTAATGAATGGAGCTCTGCTTATGGTTGAACATGGAAACATTCATTCAGTAAGCTCTGCAAAAGCAAAAATTAGCCGTATTTTGTCCAAACAATTAGTCGCAGAATTAGGACAATTACCAATAAACCAGCGTGACAATGAGCCGGGTGAGTCCTACCGTATAATTACCGGGAGTATGTGCTGCCACTGCCCTACCAAAATGATCAGCGCGGGCAGATTTAGATGCACCGGAGGCCGCTGTCGAACGGTTTCCGCACAAGGCCTCCTTTGTCCGCGGCATGGGCGGTAATCGGCGGCTAGCCAGCCACCCACCAGCTGGCGGGCAGCCGGAGCGTCCCGACCGAGCCCTGCATGGTCCGCGCGCGGTCAGCCGGCCGGTCTGTCCCGGCCCTAAATTTGACCCGACCGGCAGCGTCGACCGCCTGACGCCGTCCCAGATCTCGCCCTAATTGAAAGGAGAAGTAGCTGTTGAAATGGCGAGCCGCCCGGCCGGTGAATTAAGGTGTCACGGACGATGAAGAACTGCGTCCAGACGCGCTACGACTGGACGGAGACGGCATGGTTTCCCCAGAGAGGGCTCCGGTCCCAGCTGTCGGCACGCGCTGGATCCGCTCCGGACCCGCGCTGGGGGCTCGTCGTCGTCGTCGTCGTTGTTCCCTCCAGCCCCCTAGGGGGCGTAGCCGATGAGGCTCAATTGGGCGCGGTAGCCGGCGGCCAAGGCCGCCACCGCGCCGTCGTCCCTTGCCATAGACGCTTCCAGGTGAATATTACCCAGGCGCCGCAGGCGGCGTCCCGCCAGCGCCGGGCATCGGAGCAGGACGTGTCGTGGAGTGTCCGCCTCCTCGCGGCAGACGCGGCATCGTGCAGCAGGGCAGCCCATGTCATTGCACTGCGGGCAGTCGGCCTCGGGACGGCGGCCGATGCGGTGCAGGTACTGCGCCGAGCCGCTCCAGTGTCCTGCTCGGAGCTGGTGAATATCAACCGCGACGGCACGGTCGGCCTCCAGGACGGGGCCGGGACGGCGGTCGGCCCATATCGCCCGGTACCAGCCGTCCGGCCAGCTCTGCTGCCAGGCGCGCGCAGCGTCTCGTGCAACGGCCTTGCATATCGTGCCACCGTCGATCGGAGTGTCATGTTGGGGTAGGGCGCTGGCCTCGCGGGCGAGGGCGTCCGCTCGCTCATTACCGGGGAGCCCGCAGTGTGCAGGGACCCACTGCATGGTTACTGGCTGGCCCCCCTCGGTGAGCGCGGCCAGCAGCCTCCATATATCTGCGGCCAGCGGAGTCCTCTGGGCCGCCGGGCCGCTCC